AGTAAAAAGGTCCGGTCCGAGCATGTAGGCCCTTTATAAAATAATCTAGAGTGGGTGACAGGACAAACAGAAGGCAAATTTATTAAATACCTTCTTCAGCTCAGTGTATACAAAGGGGCATGGGGGAGCTCTTGTCCATAATGGGCATGGTATTGACACAGATCCAGATGATCCATATTGGCTCACAGTTGATATGATCCAAAAATCTTTAGAATAAAGCACCTGGACCGGATGGAATACACCCACGGGTCCTTAAAGTATTGAGCTCTGTCATTTTAAAGCCATTGTTTCTAATTTTTAGGGACTCTTTAATGACTGGTATAGTACCACTGGATTGGCGTAAAGCCAATGTGGTGCCAATATTTAAAAAGGGGTCAAAATATTTACCAAGTAATTATAGACCTGTCTGTTTAACTTCTATAGTTGGGAAGATACTGGAGAGTTTAACAAAAGACCACATAGATGAGTTCTTGCTGAGAAAAAAATATTTTAAGCAACAGACAGCATGGATTCATGAAAGACAGAAGTTGTCAAACAAATCTTTTGTTCTTTTTATGAGGAGGCGAGCAAAACCTTGGACAGAGGGGTGGCGGTGGACGTGGTATACTTGGATTTTGCAAAAGTGTTTGACACAGTTCCCCCCACACACGGCTAATGTGTAAGGTAAAGTCTACGGCTTGTAAAAATCCGTATGTAAATAAGTGTGGAGCCCATGGTACTCCTATGCTCTTTCCACCCTGCCCCCAACCAGCCTGGGTATTCTGGGTTGCTGTGGGACGCCACTTAAGTCGCAGGTTCCTTCTCCTTCCTAGCTAAACTTCCTCCCCTCTGTCTTGTGTTTTTCCTGCTTCCCTTCCCACTTCTTCCTCTCCTTTCCCTCCATTTCCCCCCCCCCCCCTTTTTCTCTCTCTCTCCCTCCCCCCCTTCATTTTGCCCCCCTCCACCCAGGGTAGGAAATACCCACCCTTTCCATAATGCCAAATCCTGGGTCCTTGCGCCCAGAGATATTTCGCCATTTCTGGCACTGGCTGCTTGATGCCTCTGTCCTTTATTGTTGTGGGTTTTCTTGAAAATATGATTTTGTATTCAACCATTAGTTTTCTTTTAAGATTCTGTCCCCTGTATGGGACCTAATTGCTCAATTTGTATTCTGCTACCATTGCTCAATAAAAACCATTCTACAAGAAAGTACAGCTGTACTTTCCTTCGACATAAATGGAAATATGTTTTTTACATTGCAGAGCAGCGATCTGGATGGGAGATGAATCTCATTGCTTGTAATATACAGTGGGGCAAAAAAGTATTTAGTCAGCCACCAATTGTGCAAGATCTCCCACTTAAAAAGATGAGAGAGGCCTGTAATTGGCATCATAGGTAGACCTCAACTATGAGAGACAAAATGAGAAAAAAAATCCAGACAATCACATTGGCTGATTTGGAAAGAATTTATTTGCAAATTATGGTGGAAAATAAGTATTTGGTCACCTACAAAGAAGCAAGACGTCTGGCTCTCACAGAACTGTACCTTCTTCTTTAAGAGGCTCCTCTGTCCTGCACTCATTACCAGTATCAATGGCACCTGTTTGAGGTCGTGAACAGGTGTCTTTTATACTGATAACAAGTTCAAACAGTCACACTCCAAACTCCACTATGGTGAAGACTAAAGAGCTGTCAAAGGACACCAGAAACAAAATTGTAGACCTGCACCAGGCTGGGAAGACTGAATCTGCAATAGGCAAGCAGCTTGGTGTGAACAAATCAACTGTGGGAGCAATAATTAGAAAATGGAAGACGTACAAGACCACTGATAATCTCCCTCGATCTGGGGCTCCACGCACGATCTCACCCGGTGGGGTCAAAATGATCACAAGAACGGTGAGCAAAAATCCCAGGACCACACAGGGGGACCTAGTGAACGACCTGCAGAGAGCTGGAACCAACATAACAAAGGCTACCATCAGTAACACACTATGCCGCCAGGGACTCAGATCCTGCAGTGCCAGACGTGTTCCCCTGCTTAAGCCAGTACATGTCCGGGCCCGTCTGAAGTTTGCTAGAGAGCATTTGGATAATCCAGAAGAGGATTGGGAGAATGTCATATGGTTAGATGAAACCAAAATAGAACTGTTTGGTAGAAACACAACTCGTGTTTGGAGGAGAGAGAATGCTGAGTTGCATCCAAAGAACACCATACCTACTGTGAAGCATGGGGGGTGGCAACATCATGCTTTGGGGCTGTTTCTCCGCAAAGGGACCAGGATGACTGATCCATGTACATGACAGAATGAATGGGGCCATGTATCGTGAGATTTTGAGTGCAAACATCCTTCCATGAGCAAGGGCATTGAAGATGAAACGTCGCTGGGTCTTCCAACATGACAATGATCCCAAACATACCGCCCAGGCAACAAAGGAGTGGCTTTATAAGAAGCATTTCAAGGTCCTGGAGTGGCCTAGCCAGTCTCCAGATCTCAACCCCATAGAAAACCTTTGGAGGGAGTTGAAAGTCCGTGTTGCCCAGCGACAGCCCCAAAACATCACTGTTCTAGAGGAGATCTGCATGGAGGAATGGGCCAACATACCAGCAACAGTGTGTGCCAACCTTGTGAAGACTTACAGGAAACGTTTGACCTCTGTCATTGCCAACAAAGGATTTATAACAAAGTATTGAGATGAACTTTTGATATTGACCAAATACTTATTTTCCGCCATAATTTGCAAATAAATTCTTTCCAAATCAGCGTGTGATTGTCTGTCTGGATTTTTTTTTCTGTCTCTCATAGTTGAGGTCTACCTATGATGCCAATTACAGGCCTCTCTCTCATCTTTTTAAGTGGGAGAACTTGCACAATTGGTGGCTGACTAAATACTTTTTTGCCCCACTGTATATAATATTACTTTTTTTTTTTTTTCACAAGGTACAAATACCTCTCTGCCTGGAGTTTCACTTTAATCCTAGAATGTATAATGAATTTTATAATATTTTTATAATTTTATAATGAATTTTTATATGTAACCGTTTTTTATTAGATATTTTCATTGATAATACAAAGTGCATAAGAAAAACAGTTATAAGAGGACTGCTGACATAGCTCAGTGAAAGTCTTTTCACTGTCAAAGAGAAACTTCAAAACAAGGTACATCGATATTGTAAGCTACAATAAAGGAACAAAGCATCTACCACTGGTGAAGCGTATCAGGTTTCAGCAGATAAAGAATGTAATTCTGATTCCCTGTTTTTTCAGTCCAAGAGTCAGGCTGCTTCTCAATCAACTATTTTAGGTGAATTTGTTAGTTTCTCAGGCCTATTGTATCAAGGACAAAGTTGCTCCTTTCCTAGTCATGGTCCGTTCCACCAGAAGAGTCAGTCCTTCCTTGGCTATTCAACTACAAACTTCTGTAAATGTTTGTAAAGTTGCTACCTGGTCTTCGTGTTTACTAAGTCCTACCAGGTAGATATTCACACCTCTGCAAACGCTGGTTTAGGGCACATAGTTATGCAGGTGGCAATGTCATTCTTCATTATTCTGTTTTTGGATTTTGGGCACATGGACCTTGTTGCTCTGTTGCCGACTACCAATTAGTCATAAATATAAACTCCTGTGTCATGGGATGTATGATTCAGAAATTAGGATTATGAATTTACCTGTAAAATCCTTTTTGTGGAAGTAAATCAGTATTCTGAGGCTTAGCTGAGCTGGGAGGAATTATGCCCAGGCAGATTTTTGCATTTATTTATTTTGTCCCATGTCCATTCACCTGAAGGTGGCTGCATATTCCAAGTAGTCATGGATATGAACTCCTCTGTGTTCTGTGATGTAAACTTAGAATTATTGGTTTACCTATAAAATACTTTTCTAATATTAAAAATGTTCCAGCTCAGGGGCTGACTGAATATTCGAGTACTCAGGCCCCATGAAATGCCCCTGGTACCTTTTTTGTTTGTTTTTTTTTAATAGGCTTTTTTGGGTGGGCTTTGAGTGTGGGTAAGGACACAGGGGCCCCATGATACCCTATTGCCAGAGGGCCCTATGAGTTGTCAGTCCACCCGTTCCAGCTACATCTCCACTGCCCAGGAAATTGCCCAGCCATTTGACAGTCATCTATCCTTAAATAGGTGTCATTATAAAGATTAATGTCTGTGGCCACAGTTGATTGTTAATGCATTTCTGTGACTGTTCTGAGAGTACACCAGAATGGTAGTGTGTATGATTGGCTCCAGACACCAAAGAGAACAGCTATCTTTGCAGTGACATCCTTTGCTGGGTATGATTTTAGCAATGTTTGTGTCTGAGAACATCTTGGTTTGTTTATTTTACAGTATAAAAGTAAAAATTGCCAGATGATGACCATACATATTGTAATAAAACCAGGAAAAGGCATGAATATTATATGGTAAACCTCTTTCAAGAAGCTTCATTCTCAGGGTCCCTCCCACTTAACTTTTTTGTACTGCTGCCCTCCCCTTCTCGCACCAGTCTGTTTGGAAGTGATACACTGCCACAGACATAACAAAACAAGGCTTTCTAAATAGTGCCATTTAGCTTTGAACAGATTGCTATAATTACCCTTAGCATTGGTATCCGGTGCAGCAGTAACAGACTCTCTTCTACTTTATTGGTGTTACTGGCAGCAATAATAACCCCCGGATGTTGGTAATAACTTGGACCTTGTGGGCTGCAAAGGAAGCCCATTGGACAGCTCTGGTCAGATGTTTGGCTGTTGAAGCAATTTGGGGTCTTGCAGGACTTTTTCTTGACGGATTTCTCTGCAGAATGTTGTAGTCAGATGGTATGCAAATTGTGCTTAGCTTTGTGCTTCTTCAACCAAATGACCTGTAACCTTTTCTTCAGTAGGGTAAAGGCTATGTAATTGTTCTGTTTAGAAATTTCAGAAAAAAACTTGCCCATAAATGTCTTTTAACCCAGGTATAAGTTATAGAAAATGGAGGAAGTGTAAACATTTTACTACTCTTCTAATGTTTATATTAATATTTGCAGATGGATGGTGATAGCTCTACAACAGATACATCCCAGTTAGGAATTTCTGCAGACTATATTGGAGGAAGTCATTATGTGATTCAGCCACATGATGGTAAGACTTCATACCGAAAATTATGTTGTAAACTTTAGTGGTATTATCCACAAAATGTGTATTATTGAAAATGAATTTGAATATTTATAATGTAAGGACAAGATACATGTTTTTTGTGATGGTTTTATGGTGACATCATAAATCACTAGCAATTAATTACAGCTTTTGACGTAAGTGGTGAAAAAGGCATTGAGACTAGTAAATGGTTACATGACACCCTTAGACCTGCAATATGCATTTCCCCAATACTCTTCCAAGACCGCAATGTAAAAGTTAATTGGTCTACTTAAAATAAACAATTCTGTCCTGAGAGAGAGAGGGATATACTCTTTGATTACAGCAGTGTGCATCAGAGGATCCCTAAACATCTTAGAGGATTTTCTCAGCCGGAAAAGGATTTGACGCAGCAATTGGGAGTTAAACCCACAAGTTTATCTGCAGATGACAGGGAGGGAATGACCACCATAGGAAACAGGAAAGTAGAGGGATAATTCTTGGTAAGAAAATTGGGTAGGATTGGATGCACTGTCCCAAAATTTGGACATCACCATGGGTTCTGGTTTTCTGCTTTTAGCCCTGATCCCAAGAGTAGTTTGAAAGTTAAAGGTGATTTCCAGCTTTTAATAAAGTTTAAATAGTTCTTTTTGACCAAGCCAGTTCAAACAAACCAATTACTTCACTAACAGATACAGCGGCTATCAGTGCTGTATGAACTGTATGTAGCCTCAGTTACATACAGCATATAGCGCTGTGTTCTGGCAATGGGACAAGACTTTCCTGTCTCAGCCCTGGAACAAAATTTGAGTCAGGCTGACCGCTGTTCAGCTTTTAATAGTGGGGTTTATGTTTTATGAATGAATGCAAGGCTTCCTCTGACTGGTGAATATTGTTATATCAGTTCGCCTTTCTGCCTCAGCCTATCAGAAGAAGTTTTGTATTCATTCATAAAATAGTAAGCGCTCAGCTTGACTTAATTTTGGTCCAGTCTTGTCTCACTGCTGGAACACTGGGCTGTATACTATATATTGCTGGGGCTATATAAAGCTTGTACAGCGCACACAGCCGCAGCATCTTTTAGCGAAGTCAATCATTTATTTTTGGACCTGCTTGTTCCAAATAATTTATTTAAACTTCATTAAAAGCTGAAGAAGAGCTGGCGCTTTAAGTCCATGTGCAAACTAGTCCTGATTGCCCCGTGGTGGCCAAGGATGATATGGTTTGCTGACCTGCAAAGGATGTCTGTACACAAAACCTTGGCAGCTGTCTGCCAGAGAGGACCTGTTGTCCAGTGCATGGTCCAGTTCTGCACAACAGGCCTCAATGCTTTCAACCAGCAGCATGGATCTAGAAAGGGACAGCTTAACTACAAAAACTGCTTGGAAAGAGTGATTAATACCTTGCTCAAGAGCAGTGGGATGGTGACTAGAAAGATTTACTCTAAGGACCAGTTCACGCCAGTGGGCTCACAATATTGCCTGTATAATGTGCACACTGTGGTTTTAGTTGTGTAGGGGCCGACTTATTAGTTATCTGGATTTTAAAAAATGTTATAGCAAGATGAATAAGGGAAGCCATTACTTTTGTCCACAAGATAGAGGGAAGTCAGCTTGAGTCAACTATCCAGGCAAACTCTACCCATTCTTTGGCAACAGCATGGGCTGAAAAGCAGGGGCATCAGTAGAACAGATCTACAAGCCTGCTAATCAGGATGCCTTCTTCAAGCATTATGGACGGTTTCTTTTAAAGCAAGATCTAGCCTCCGGCAGGAAAGTTCTGCAAATATTTGCCCCTCCCTGAGACATTAGTTGTTTTTTTTAACTTGCTCTTCATCTCCTTTTGCTGTCCTGAAAGATTATTGGGGAAATTCCCCATTAGCTTTACCAGTATTTTTAGAAATCGGCATACTTAATTTCCACCCTTAGATTAATGCCTAATTACAGTATTTACCCGTGTGTGTAGGGAGTTTAACTATGCCATTATCTGTAAGACTTATGGGGAATTTCAAGATCTCCAGCTCATCACTCGGAGCAAACTGCACAACTGGCAGCATGCTTTTGGGTCCTCTCTTTCTCTGTATCCATTTCCTTTTTTTTTTTTTTTTTTTTTTTTCCATTCCCTGTACTTTGGGTCAGGTTAACCACAAGAAAAGCTGCATGACCTTTATTTCATCATGGGTCTTAGCCTGGCATTCATTTCCTAGTAGTTATTTACAAATGCATATTCCTACTGATATTCGTAACTTAAGATCGTTGTTAAAGGGTATGTTTGATTTATTCCATTTCTGGTTGTTTCAGGAGACACAGAAGACAGCTTAAATGACCCAGATGACACAAATGGCTCTAAAGAGACTTTCAGAGAACAAGATATATATCTGCCAATTGCCAATGTGGCACGGATAATGAAAAATGCCATACCACAAACAGGAAAAGTAATGTCTACAGATTCCACTTTTTCTAAACTACCGTACAGCCTAATTTTACACCCTCAGTCAATATTAAGCTTCAGGTAGAAGAGGTGCAAAGTTGTTTAGCCTTTTTCTTCTGGAAACCTTCCAGAGAAGACAGCCATTTATTATTCCCATTTCACCACCTCCTTGGGCAGCATTAGTTTTAAAATGCAAATAACTTTTTTTTTCTGTCACATGATCATGACGTGATTGCCTTATGATTGCAGTATACAGTTTATACATTTTTCATACATAGGCTTTTGCGTTTCTTCCTGTCCAGCGCCATACAGTTATTTACTATGAATATATGTGTTTTTTTTTCCGAAGCACTTTTCGGAAACATTGTTTGTCTAGACATGGGATTTGTTACCCGAAAAACATATCGCTGCCAAAAAAAAAGGTCTTGGATAGGTAAAGGTAGTTTTAAAAGCAATTTTTAGTATTTTATAGAAAACAGATCTGGAATTCAAACTGCATAACCTATGGATAATAAATCCCATATGTACATTCGCTGTTTGTAAATGTTGTGCTCCTTAAATTTGGCAAGTGGGATATCAGTATGACTTTTTTTTTTTTTCTTTTCATTTATATCACTGATTTTATAGATAGAATAGTTGAGCAAGACTTTCATCTTGGTATTTTGTTATGGAACGTCTTTTTTGTATTCAGTTAATGTTTCTGTTGGGGGAAACTTGAGGCCTGAATGGAAACTCCCTATCATCTTGATATCCTTCAATGTTGTAGAATGGAGAGATCCCCGTTCAGTTTAGACCCCCTGAAGGGGGTAGAAATCTGTTTGGCACACAGAAGACACACCAGATGGGATTTTGATTAGTTATCTGTTTGGGTCAAATATTTGGAGCTACCATTGCTGACTAAAAAATGAAGGTTCTAGCTTTGAGCCTGTTTCCTATTCACTTTGTGAGTTACTGACCTAGAACAGCTATACAAGAAGAGAATGTGTTGGGATGCCTGAAATGCACATGCCTTGTTCCAAGTCAGTGACTCATATACTAGTTAAGGAAAATGAGGATTATGGCCCTAGGGCTTGCATCCTTGTTATGGTGACTTGTATATGCTGTCTGTTCCCAAATCCTGTAGAGATTCTTAGTAGTATAAGTACTTTTGCTGGTAAAGGGTGGTGGGGGCTGTACAGTCAGTTGGTACTGTTAACGGTCCATTGCAGCAATCTACTTAGACAGGACACCAAAAATGCATTGCAGTTGCATACTGTTTAATGCCATGATTCACCAATGAAATCTGAACGCACCATGTCAGGCTGACACATCTGAAATAGATATCTGGTTCCTGTTGTATTCATTTAAAGCAAAACTAAATACTCCTCTCCTTAACAGCCAAGTAAGCTGCAATCTTAGCCTCTCTGTGTAACAGTTATAGCACAAGCCATTTGATGGCTTGACAGTTTGGTTAAGAGCACAAGCATATGTGACGGGTATTATTCACAGCATGCCTTGAATGTAGCTGTTTTGACAAATTGGTAAATTGATGGGTTTATTTCCACTTCAGGTGAATTAAAGCGGAACTAAATTTGCTCTGTAAGAAACAGCGTGCAGGCAGGCTTTTATTGCAACAGAAACCTGCACTGTCTTTTTTGCCAATAAAATGCCCCTCCCTGTTTTGCTCTTTGTCTTCTTCAATGCCGTGGTCTGAGATGCACTTGCACAGTCACGGTAAAGTGCCAGGCCAGTCTCTTGAGTGTTGGGATGTCAAGCTTCCGCAGATGCTCAACCATTCCCCCCGGCCAATCAAGAGACCTGAAGACCGGCACTCAGAAGAAGGTGCTGGTGAGGGATCCTTGGAAAGGTAAGGATTCACCCTTTAGTTTTGCTTTTGATGTCAGAAATTTTATAGTGTATCAACTGACCACACACTGCTCTGTATGGGGTAGGCAACACAGTATTGTGGTATTTGTAATACCAGAATTACCACTGTGGCTGACAATGGTAAAGCTCAGTTTTTGATATATAATCTAAATTAAATGCACGTTTTAATACTTTTTTGTTTGATTTCAGATAGCAAAAGATGCCAAGGAATGTGTACAGGAATGTGTGAGTGAATTTATAAGCTTTATAACATCTGAAGCCAGCGAAAGGTGTCATCAGGAAAAGCGAAAAAAAAAACCATCAATGGAGAAGACATTTTGTTTGCCATGTCTACCCTAGGCTTTGATAGCTATGTCGAACCATTAAAGTTGTACCTCCAGAAATTTAGAGAGGTTGGTATGACTGTTTTTGGTTTTTTTTTTCTTAAAATTATGTATGTATGTATATGTGTGTGTGTATGTATATATATGTGTGTATATATATGTGTGTATATATGTATATATATATATATATATATATATATATATATATATATATATATATATAAATAAAAAACATTTTTTTTTTTTTTTTTTTTTTGAGGCACGTATTGCCCCCTGATAATGCAATAACATTCTCCACCACATACAGTTTACCAGGTGACCTGAGGTGACTGAAGATGGACAGATCTATCACTGTAACAATACTAGATTTCTCAGACATTGCATAAAGACCACAGTAGCACAATCTCTAGTGATCTTTCTCATTAGCTTGGCCAGATAAGATGTATGCAGATTGATAGGATTGTTCTCCCCACAATGGAACACATTTTACAGGAAAATGCTCTTTTCAACATTAGTGTCTTAAAAGTGAAATCCTATTGGGTTTACCAATCAATGCAGTGGTTTGCTGTATTCATTTAGATAAACAAAAGTAACCTAAAAAGGTTTTAAAGAGTTTGGATTCTAGCTAGAGGTGTAAAACTTATGGGGCTTATACATGCAGGTACCCCCTGCAGAAACCCATACAGTTGATTGATTTTTGCCTTGGGATTGTGTCTTCTGCCTTAGAGTCATTCAAAGGATAGGAACAGTATACCAAAATAAGAATTTTTTACCCCTGAGTGATAAGGAGACATCCACTTGAGACCAAAAGAAAATCTTTTGTTAACAGCATTAAATTAATTCTTTAATTGTGGTCAACTTGCCTTTATTCTGGACAAGGTAGTGCTTGGCATAATTATAAGTGATTTTATGTGGATAGTTTATGGAGTCCTGCAGGATTTTCTTTCCTTTACTATGAGGTTAAATTAGAAGATGGTACGGTGGGTTTTATCTTCTGTTCAATTACCAGTATTTGAAAAAAATTCAGCTTTATCCTCTTCCTTTTATAGAAATTGATTACCATGAGAGGCTTTTTGGGTAGCTGGCAGGAATAGTGCAGCAGGCTCCCTTGTTTCCGCTGTGCTTTTCATTGGAAATATTTTAAAGAAGTCCAGGTTTACAATAAACGACTTACATACTCGCCTATATGGATGCTGCATCTGTTGGCTCTTAGACTGAAATCAGAGTGATCACATGACCACTAATCATTCAGTTCTTGGTCTTCGCTAACTAGAGAGTGGTCAGCTACTGGCTCTCTGCTCTGCCCTTCCAGTGCTCACTGGAGCTCCAGGCTGTGCAGCGCCGGGAGACACTGCTCTTTTAATGAATTTTTGCTATCCGTATTGCTCAACTTTTGTATTGCTTATGTGAACTGTAAATATTTAACACGTGTTATGCAATCAAGTGTTTGTGTCTTCTCCTCTTTTTGTATAATAAAGCACATTAGAAGAACATATTTATGGAAACAAGCGTTTGTGAACTCTTTAGCGACAGAAATACAATTTTTTTTTTTTTTTTTTTTTCCTAAAAGGCAATGAAAGGTGAAAAGGGTCTTGGTGGCACTGTCACAACAGCAGATGGTCTTGGGGAAGAGCTTTCAGAGGAAACCTTTAGTAAGTACCTTGCTATATAAATGTAAAGGATAGTACTGGTAATATTACGATCAACACAGCTAATGTGTTATTTATTTTACTTTACAGCAGGCCAATTGCCAGCAGGTTTGATAACTGCAGATGGACAGCAGCAAAATGTTATGGTGTATACAACCTCATATCAACAGGTACAATCTTCACCAATGGGAATATACAGATTTTTTTTTTAATAATATTTAGGAGAAAGAAAAACAAATATCTGTCTAATTGTTAGCCTGGTAAACATGAAATATTGAATATGAATGCTTCATATTTACCAATTTTTTAGTGCAAAGGAAGCACTAATTTTCGCCAAACTAATCCTCAATGCTCTACTAAATAGAGAGAATTTAAAGGGAAATTGGTTTTCTCTTTGGAAAAATCATATCGCTCTGTTGTACCAGTGTAAAAATGCACCTGTATTAAATATTTTTTTTTCTTGTCTGTTGAGTGACTCAGCAATTCAGGTAGTCAGACTGGTTTGGACATCACAAACAGACTTGTAAAATCATAAGTTAGCCCCCCAGTATAACACCACCACCTATCTAGCATGCCTCAATTTTTTTTGTCATGCCCTCCTGCTGTACCACACACACTGGGCTAGCTTGGCATGTTATTTGTCAGACGCTGGGTTCTCCATTGTGACCTCTTAGCAGTGGAACTGCTTTTGGACATCTCTACTGTATTCGAATTTCTGTGTCCCTTAATGGATGAGTAAGAAAATGGGATTTTTGTAGTTCAACATGCTACATTTACTATAATCCTTATTTGGAGTTGCTGCGGATCGCAGATCTTCTAGTTTTGTGTTTTTTTTGTTCATTCCCTTAGTACTACTTTACCACAAAACTGAGTAAGGCTAGTTTAACACATATCCAGGTTAGGAAATGCATGCGTTCTTTGAATCGCAGGCAAAACGTGCTGCTCTTTTGCAGACTCATGGGGATGCTAATAATTCTTAATGGCACCCCAATGCATTGGAAAATGTGGCACCTTTTTAGGTGCAAAAACCATGTGGTTCCATGTGGTCGCTTTTTGAAGAAAGGGAAAGGGACTTCTTCCCCCGTGTTTCCCACACACATACAGCAGTCCATTCAATTGAATGGGCTACTGTGCCCACATGCAGCATGCTTGACCTGCATATGTATGAATGTAGACTAATGCTGTGTAAAGGAGGGGTAATGCTGGGAGCTGGCTTATGATTTTTCATATCACCATTGTCCAATTTTCCTGTAGGTGGCAGTATATGACTGATTTATATCTGAATTCCTGTGCCCTTAACGGATCTCGAAAAATGGATTTCTACAAAACTATAAAAATCCCATTTTTAAAAACACATTTTCTATAAAGAGTAAAAACAAATGGCAGTTTAAACTGTATAAATCTAAAGTGCACTCTGTGCCAAGACTGCATACTGTTTGCATATTCTAAACAAGCAGTAAAATAACTTTTAAGCCCTCTCTAGTTTAACATTTGTGGAGAAATTTGTCTTCAAAGTTGGCAACAAAATTTGAGCTTCTTTCTGTGGCGAACCCAATCTTAAATAGGGAAAAAAAGTCCACACTTCTCTATTATATTTACCTAGGTGGATGCAGCATTAGTCTGATGCTGCATCTGTACCCCATCAGCTCTAAGTGAGAACTCAGTGATCACTTGACCTTTGATCACTGAGTTCTCACAGCTGCCCGTCCAACGCACTCACTGGACCACTTTGCTGTGGAGGGGGAGGGAGGCTTTCAGAGGCTCACTGAGAGGCTGAGCTAGGTGATGCTCCAGACTTTGGGGAGGATCCTGACTTTGAAGTCGGGATCTTTCCCCAGCCTAGACCAACTGAGTGACGTCAGCCAACAGCAGGCTTCAGCCCGCTATCAGCTGAAAATGGGTCACAGGAGTGCAGAACGAACTGCACTCCTGTGATTCACAGAAGTACAGCCAAAAGATCTTTGGCTGTACCTCTTTACGTCTGCCAGCCCGCTAATGTAAACAAGTAACACATTTCTAAGTTGTCAAAAGCAATTTTAGGGTGTGTGGTGTGACCTTTGAGAACAAATTACTTCATATTACAAGCAGCCAGAGAGATCAGGGATAACTTGTTCTATAGCTCTTTTCCTGCTTCAGAATATGTAAATCAATTAATGCCAATATTCCACATGTGCACTTTAAGTCTACTATTTTTATTTGCTTTAAAATGTTTTGTCAGCATTAATTATAAGCATGCCACTATTTAGCAGCATGTAGTCATATAAGGGCCTCATGCATATGGGTATAAAAAACATAATTTTTATATGCTCAGTGTTTATTTTTACAGGTCTAAATATATAGCTGCTATGGGCCCATGTACCGAGCTGTCTAAAGATTGACAAACTTGTCGTGCGTTCAGATCTTTCCTGTTTCACATGTGATTTAGCTTGTCTAAGAGTGGTGTAACCAGCAAGGTTTTACAGAGCATTTGCAGGCCTTTCAACAAGCTTTGTTGAAGCTTTAAAATACCAGTCGGCTCTAGTTTGTAAATATTGGGCACAGAACCTATTGGGAGTGCTTATTGCCACTTTAAACAAGCTGCTAGCAGACTTTAGCACACTACTTGGAGCTTGTTGAAAGCCTGCTAGCATCTTGTTTAAAGTGGCAATCAACACTCCCATTAAGGCCTGTGAATACCATTTCCAAAAGGAGCTGAAGGGCGCTTTAAAGCCTTAGAGAAAGTTCCTGAAAGCTTTGCAATAGCTTGTGAATGTTTGTTTCATAAAAGCTTGCTGTTCACAATATTCTTCAAGCTGAAGCCCTTGTGAAACAGCCCTTAACGGAAAACTGAGGTCTGAGAATTTTGGGTAGATTTCTTCAGAAGCTGCATGCATCCTAGCAACAGAACGATGCTAGGGGGCAGAATCTGCAAATGAAGTACACTGGGTGTCTTAACCCTTCTGCATTCTAAAAACAGGACAATGGTAGGCAGCAGAAGCCACCTGCATCCTAGTAACAAGGACACATGGCGGCATAAGCTGCTTGTATTCTAGCAACAAGAGGATACTAGGCAGCTTCTTTCAGAAACAGCCTTTATCCAAGCAACAGAAGGCCATTTATATTGCAACATTGTATACATGTAACAATGACCGCAAATGTTTTATGTGTAACACACAGTTTTTCAGGTGTTCCTGTACCGTAATGTTTGTGATGATGCGTTTGTGAAAAGGACACCAAATTTAAATCACATCAGTGTTCCTTGTTTCTAAATTAAATGTAAATAGGGTAGCCATATATGCCCCTACATGTTTTGGCCCTGTTTTACTGCTGATTCTCTTATCCCTCTCATGAAATCTTTCTGTAAACAAACTATTTATACTCTCTAATGCAGTTAAACACCCACAATGCGCATATTATCTCTGTCTTTTGCTAGGCTGTGACTTGATAGATCTCGGCTAAATTTCTGTCCATGGTAAGAATCAGGTACTTTTACTGAAAAAGGAAAAAATGGTGTTGCTGACTTTTGCTGTATTGATTCATGTTGAGCGTGATTTGTAAGTCCATTGCATATACTAAAACTTTTCTTAATATATCATCTTTTTTTGCAGATATCAGGTGTTCAGCAAATCCAGTTCTCCTGATTTTTAAAGAGATACTTCTATCTGCAAACATGAGTCAGGAAGAAAGCTATACATATTTGAATGCCATGTTGGATTGCAATGGAGTGAGAGTTTATTTTTTATTTTGTTTTTGTTTTAATTTAACTTTTTTGTATATTAAGTTGCTGTAATGTAGCTTCCTTGGGTGTGTTGCATAGGGTAATAACCTCCACCTTTTTATGGTTTATTTTCCCTTCCATCGATTTTAAGTATTGGTTTTTAAAACTGTTAGGGTTTTGTTTGTTTTTTTTGTACAAGAGTTGTTTTTCTGACTCCTGTATGCCTTGTAAATTAATGATTTATTACTGTCTGAGATTTTTTTTAGACAGTTTATTATTTTCATATTGAACCATGTAACTTCTTTTTGTAAATCAAATAAAAGAAATGACTTAAAAGTGTAACGTATTGGTTTCTACTTTTCATGCTCAATGGCTTATAACCCAGTCATCTATGAATACCTCCTCACTGTCCTGTAGTGTAAGAGAAAGAAATGTATTTTGTACATACTTCTGAAAAGAATTCAAAATACTTGCGTAAAAAGATACGTTTTCAAGCCAGATTATTAATTATATTAAGGTAAAACCATTTTAATCTTCTTACCCCAATGTACAGTAACTTACCATACTGCCGTATGCCATAATGCCATACTTGGACTAACTGACCTCCCAGAATAAGAGACCTTCCTCTTTGTCTAAAGCAGGGGTGTCAAGCTTAATTTAATTACGGCCACATCAGCATTATGGTTGCCCTCAAAGGGCCAGTTGTATAGGTGAGACTAGATTCCAGAGCACCCCCCCCTTCCATATCACAGTGCACCCCCTTACCTTGTGCTACTGCCCGGAAAAAGTTGGGAGCTGACCTGAAAAGCAGAATGTGCAGGGTCTGGAGGAGGGCTGGAGTCTGCTGAGACCAAGGGCAGTGGAGATGAGGGGGTGCTGTGGCTGTGCACAGAGTTTTGTGCTCCTCTCTACTGCTGAATGCTGAGATGAACCTTCTGCGGCTGCACGGAGAAGTGGAAGAGTTCTGTCTCCCTCTCTGCTGCCAACTTCTGAGGCAAGATGGGAGACAGAGATCAGAGAGATGTGAAGACCACACTAAATGGCCTGGCAAGACTTGTGTTTGACACATGTGGTCTAAAGTCTTTCAGACTGAATTATGTTTTTCTCTAGAACAGAGGTCACTAAATGGCGGTGCACGAATGGCCCCAGCAGCATTGCCGCCCGGACCACTAGCCCACAATGACAGATCCGCCGCTGAGAAGGGCGGTCGTCACGGCAACATGACATCACATGTGCACCCCACCCCTTTCAGCTCACTGACGCTCCTGCTCCCCGCCTGTACACAAGGATCCCGGCACAGCTCCTGTCTGCCCTCAAGGTAGGGTGTAGTCTTATATGGGCACATTGAAGGTTAAATAGTACTCTGGTGGGTACAACATAGAATGTGCCCATCAGCGTGCCCCTTATTTTATGTTAAAGGGCATTCTGATGGGCACATTTTATGTTAAGGGGGCACGCTGATGGGCACAACATAGAATGTGCCCATCAGTGTCCCTTAACATAAAATGTATCCATCAGAGTGCCCCATAATATAAATGTGCCCATCAGCATGCCCCCTCTTATGTTAAGGGGCACTCTGACGGGCACATGTCATGGAAAGGGGCACTCTGATGGGGAATATGATAGAAAGGGGTACTTTGTCACCTTACATCAGGTATTCCTGTCAGAGTGCCCCCTTACAATGTGATGGGGGTACCTGATGTAAAGTTGCACTCTGATGGGCACACCCTATTCGGACCTCGGCCAGAAGAAAATTTTAGTGACCGGACCTCCTTGAATTTTAATTCAATACCCCTGCTCTAGAATGACCCTGTATTAACATTATTCATTTTCATTGGCAGAGACTGAGAAATTGGTCAGGACTGCAAGCACATGCATCCCCACCCCATGATATTGCTGCCACATATGACAATTTGCACTATGGCCAAAATAATTTAATTCTGGTCTTATCAGAAAGGAAAACATATTTTCACATTTGCTGTTATGGGATGTACTAAACTTCATATTGGGAAGATTGGATTATTGGCTGTAATGCTCAACACTCATTAGATGTCGTCAGTATATTTTTACACACATATGGTAATGACTGTTTGTTTTTACTCAAAATGTTTTCTTTTCTGCACTACTTGATACTATGTTGCAAAGTAGTGGCTATTGTTTAACTCTTTATTTGCCGATATATATGCAGCTGTGCAATGGAAACCGTAAATTATACAGAAATAATGGAAACATTACTTAATATTTCTAGGAATAGATTTATTGATGTTATACAGTACATGTACAGTATGTGTAAAGCACTACATTTTGACCTGTTTCATTAGGAACCTGTAAAAAATGTTTCAAAAAGGAAGATAATAAATCAGGCCAGTTTAGAGTTTGCCAAATGACATCTAAAAAAGCCTTCACAGTTCTGGAACAATATCCTATGGACAGATGAGACCAAGATCAACTTGTACCAGAGTGATGGGAAGAGAAGAGTATGGAGAAGGAAAGGAAACTGCTCATGATCCTAAGCATACCACCTCATCAGTGAAGCATGGTGGTGGTAGTGTCATGGCGTGGGCATGTATGGCTGCCAATGGAACTGGTTCTCTTGTATTTATTGATGATGTGACTGCTGACAAAAGCAGCAGGATGAATTCTGAAGTGTTTCGGGCAATATTATCTGCTCATATTCAGCCAAATGCTTCAGAACTCATTGGACGCCACTTCACAGTGCAGATGGACAATGACCCAAAGCATACTGCAAAAGCAACCAAAGAGTTTTTTAAGGGAAAGAAGTGGAATGTTATGCAATGGCCAAGTCAATCACCTGACCTGAATCCGATTGAGCATGCATTTCACTTGCTGAAGACAAAACTGAAGGGAAAAATGCCCCAAGAACAAGCAGGAACTGAAGACAGTTGCAGTAGAGGCCTGGCAGAGCATCACCAGGGATGAAACCCAGCGTCTGGTGAGGTCTATGCGTTCCAGACTTCAGGCTGTAATTGACTGCAAAGGATTTGCAACCAAGTATTAAAAAGTGAAAGTTTGATTTATGATTATTATTCTGTCCCATTACTTTTGGTCCCTTACAAGTGGGAGGCACATATGCAAACTGTTGTGATTCCTACACCGTTCACCTGATTTGGATGTAAATACCCTCAAATTAAAGCTGACAGTCTGCAGTTAAAGCACATCTTGTTCGCTTCATTTCAAATCCATTGTGGTGGTGTATAGAGCCAAAAATGTTTAGAATTGTGTCGATGTCCCAATATTTATGGACCTGACTGTAAGTATATGGGGATTATGGTGAGAATATCATGGTTACACTTAATGAACATATTTTACCTCTTTCAGATAAGCAAATACATATAATTATTTTTCCAAATGGGGATAATGTTGGAATATTGTGGATATGCATGGCAAAGACCATATTTGACCTGTTTCTAATAAGAATATGAGAATAGTTATTTTTCTAAATGGGTTTATGGGTGGAATATTGTAGATAAAATTCCAAATAACATATTTTATCTGTTTTCTGATAAGAAATTAGGGTATAGTTATTTTTCTACATGGGGATTTTGGGTGGAATAGCATGGTTATGCATGCATAGGAACAAATTTGACTTGTTTCTGTAAAGAATATAAGAATTGTTATTTTTCTACATGGAGATTACAGTGGTTAATCACTTGAGCTCCAGAGGATTTACCCCCCTTAATGACCAGGCCTCTTTTTTGCTACTCGGCGCTGCACTAATTCAACTGATAATTGCGCGGTCATGCAATGCTGCACCCAAACAAAATTTACGTCCTTTTTTTTCACACAAATAGAGCTTTCTTTCAGTGTAATTTGATCACCTGTGTGCTTTTTATTTTTCACGCTATAAACAAAAAAAGGCCAAAAATTTTTGAAGAAAAACAATATATTTTTTACTTTCAGCTATAAAAAAATATATAGTAAACTCAAAATTGGTTATAAATGTAGGCCAAAATGTATTCTGCTACATGTTTTTGGTAAAAAAATCCCAATAAGTGTATATTGATTGCTTTGTGTGGAAGTTATAGTGTCTACAAACTATGGTATAAATACTGCAATTTACGCCATTTTTCTGCTATACAGCGCTGCGCTAGTTTAACGGACAATTGCGCGGTCATGCAATACGGTACATAAATGAAATTTACATTTTTTTCCCCACAAATTGTGCTTTCTTTCGGTGGTATTTGATCGCCTGTGCGTTTTTTATTTTTTGCGCTATTAAAAAAAAGGCTGACAATTTTGAGGAAAAAAAACAATATTTTGAACTTTTTTGCTATAAAACATGTCCAGTAAAAAAAAAAAAAAATGCAAAAATCAAATTTAGTCATAAATTTCTGCCAAAATGCATTCTGCGACATGTCTTTGCTAAAAAAAAACCCAATACGTGTAAATTAATTGGTTTACGTGAACGTTATAGCATTTACAAATGGCGGGAAAGATACTGGGATTTTTAGGTTTTTTTTTTTTTTTTTTTTTTTTACACTAATAATGGCGGCGATCAGGGACTTATGGTGGGACTGCGGCGGACATTCTGACATTGGGGGGTACTGACTTGGGGTCACTGACATCCCCAAAAACACTAATACAGTGATCAGTGCAAAAAAAAAAACCACTGACACTGTACTAATGGCAATGGGGAGGAAGGGGTTAACTTTATTTAGCAGGGAAGGGTTATAAGAGTGAGGGGAGTGTATTACTAGGGGGCGGGGGTGTGTACTGAACCGGACAAGGCTGATCGAGAAAGAGAAACTGTTCTTTCTCGATCAGCTCATCCTCGAGCTGACAGGGAAGTGACAGACAGCACAGCTACTGCAGCTGTGCTGTCTATCACTGTTTGCTGCCGATTGCTGGGAAACAGCCGCTATGGATCGGCTGTGACCCGGCGACTCACATCTGCGGCGGTGA